ACAGTGACAGAAGGGGTAGCCTGCGTGGTTGCCATAAACACCACGGAAGAACCAATCGAACTCATACTTCCTCCGCAACGTCTCGAACCCTTCGACGAAGAAATGGATTGCCCCGGCAATAATCTTGCAGTTTGCAACATGGCGCTATCCCCTGAGGAAACAGAGGATACCCATCAGAGAGCCTTGGACATCGCCAAAGCACTTCCCGAGCAAGACCTCAAACACTTTGAGAGAAAAAAAGTTATGGAGCTAACCACTCCATATGACGATGTGTTTCATCTTCCCGGAGATAAATTAGGGAAGGCGAAACATTTTAAATGCAAAATACGCACCGTGGATAACAAACCCGTCCACAAACGCCAGTACAAATTCCCGAACCAACATAAAGAAGAGATTAAAAAGCAATGCAGAACTCTTGAAGAACAGGGTATCATCAGACCTTCGATCTCGCCCTACAACTCTCCACTATGGATCGTCCCCAAGAAGGCAGATTCTAAAGGAAAGAAACGTTGGAGAATGGTGATCGATTTCCGTAATCTGAATCAGAAAACCATCGGAGACTCCTACCCACTTCCGGACATCTCCGAGATCTTGTCTCAACTCGGAGGCGCGAAATACTTCAGCGTCTTCGACCTCGCGAGTGGTTTCCATCAAATAGAAATGGACGAAGAGGACAGTGAAAAAACCGCTTTCACTGGTCCAGATGGACATTATGAATACGCACGGATGCCCTTTGGTCTCCAAAACTCACCACCAATCTTCCAGAGGATGATGGACCATGCTCTTGCAGGATTAAAAGGCACCGAGCTGTATGTATATCTTGATGACATCGTGGTTTACTCCAAAACGTTCGAAGCTCACAATGAAAGGCTCGAACATCTATTCGAGTGTCTCAGAGGAAATGGACTGACCCTTCAACCAGATAAGTGCAAATTCTTTATGAAAGAAGTTGCATATCTGGGTCATATCATCGACGAAGAGGGTATCCATCCAGATCCTTCGAAAATCAGAGCACTCGTTGACATGCCAAAACCAACCAACTTACATGGTCTGAGGAAATTCCTTGGTTTTAGCAATTATTACCGCAGGTTTGTTCAAGACTATGCTGAAATCTCAGAACCGCTTACCAATCTACTGAAGAAGGATATTCAGTACGACTGGACCAAACACCAGACCGAGGCTTTCCAACTGCTGAAAACCGCTATAACTGAAGACTCATTATTATATCATCCAGACATGGATGAACCGTTCATCGTACATGCATCCAGCACTGAGAAGGGTCTAGGTGGCATATTAAGTCAAAAAGATGAGGAAGGAGACGAACATCCAATCCTTTACGCATCTAGAACATTGCGAGGAGCAGAAACCCGTTATACCCCAGCGGAACGAGATTGTTTGGCTGTGGTGTATGCAGTAGACCAGTTTCGACCCTACATCTTTGGCGTACACTTCACTATCATCACGAACAGCCCTGCCCTAAATTGGTTGATGGACTCCAGTAATCCCACCACAAGGCAAATAAAATGGAAAACCTTCTTGAACGACTACGACTTCAATGTAGAAATCAAGAAGCAAAAGAAAGCTCAACTGGCCGATGCTTTCGCAGAAAATCCTCTGGATAGCGACCAATCTGAAGGGAAGTCGATCGCAATATGTTTACCGACCTTCAAGCCACCTAACTCCATTCTGAAGAGACCTCAATCAAACAGAAATCATAACCGTAGAGTTCAATTCCACTCAGAACCTGACGCAGCTCTTCAACCAGGTTCAGGCACATCAGTAGCAGACAGAATCAGAACACGACGAATGACTGAATTGGCCGCTGGTAAGAGGACTCCTATATCTTACCGAGACCGCAGAGAATATCGGTCGGCATTGAAGAAGAAGACTCAAGGAACCGATACTGGAACTCTCAGCGAGACGTCACAGACTGTCGGTACAGAACCTTCAGAAACGTCCACTTCCAACGATCCAGAAGATGCACCTGAAATTCCGGTGGAACCCATAGTGGATCCCCCTCCAAGATCAAACGATGAAAAAGGAAGTTCAGGAAGTCCAACAAATTCTCTACCCAGTGATGAGAATGGAAGTTCAGGAAGTACAGCGACCTTCCAAACAACAAAAGAAAGTTTTGATGAAACCAATGTATCCCTTGAAGGGACACCCCTAGAGGATGATGTCTTCGAGACCGAAGATACCTCGCTGTATCAGCCGCTAAATTCAAGAATAATAGAATCTGAGACCCTGACGGAAGAACAGGACGATGAGGATGAAGAGGTGACTGAGGCTGAAACCACAGCATCAAACGGTATACAGCTCTTTGAAAAACTCCTCGAGAAGGCTGAGGAAACTCAAAATGAAAGTTTCCCGGAGTGGGATTATTATCAACCACCCACCTTATACCAGCTGAAAAGAACAAGCCTGAGTACCGACTTCCTAGAGGAACTAGACGAGTCCACCCGTCTATTCGAACAGAAACTAGCTGAATTCGAAGGGCGATCCAAACCCCTCATCGACCTCACTGACGAACTCTCTGAAGATGGAAATGAGTCAACGGGGGTGGAAAAAGGTCCCATCAAGGTTTCCTCTTTCTCTGAAGAGCTACCCAAACCATTGTCTGTCACGCCATCGTCATCCGTCCAAAGTAACCTAGAAAAGGTCCAACCGAAACGAGATTCTACGTTAGAAGACACAAGATATGAAGACATGAGCAGCATCCCTCGTGATGATGCCTACGTAACAGCATCTAACATCCAAGAGTCCAGAGATGGACTAACATTTACTAGAGGTAATCTAGTGCACTTTCTTGCTGCTGATGCGGAACCAACCAAGCAAAACACAAAACTATTGAGGGACTTGAATTTTATCAATCTGGACCACATCAGAAAACTCAAACCACAAGTAGGTCAAATAATAGTGACCAAATGTGGGAAATTCTTCACGTTCACCCTTATTGTGAAACAGTGGCATTTTGAGAGAGTTAAAAATAAAAATCTCAAAACGTGTTTGAAAAACCTGAGAGAAGCCTTGATGAAATATCAAATCAATGAAATAAAGATGCTGAACCAGGGAGATGAAATCGATGAAGATCTGAGAATTCATTTTTTTCTGGAAAAAGAATTCCAAGAGGAACCAATCACCATCACTTTGTGCCATGGAACCGTCAGAATGCCCCCAGAAGCACTGAGACCTGAAATAATCAAAGAGTGCCACGAAACCTTACCGGCAGGTCATAAAGGGATAGTCAAGACATTCAACAGAATTCGAGAGCGATTCTACTGGCCAGGGATGAAACAAGAGGTCGAAAGGTTCATAAAAAAATGCAGAACTTGTCAACTAGAGAAAATCCGAAGGGTGAAATTTCGACAACCTATGCTGATAACGGAAACCCCCAGCGAATGTTTTGAAAGAATCTCGATTGACACTGTGGGCCCTCTTCCAACAACATCAAAGGGGAATAGCCACATTCTCACAATCCAAGATAATTTCTCGAAGCACAGTGTCGCTGTTCCACTTCGGGATATCAAAGCTCATACCATCGCTCATGCACTAGCTACGAAATATGTTGCTCAGTTTGGATGCCCGAAAATAATTCTATCCGACAAAGGAACGAGCTTTCTAAGTAAACTCTTCGCCCAGTTAAGTAAACTCTTACGGTTTCATCACCTCACTACCTCCGGATACAGACCACAATCCAATGGAGCCTTGGAAAGGAGCCACCATGTGCTTGCCGAATATCTCAAGGCATACACAGATGAGTTCAATCAGTGGGACGACCTCCTTCCGTTCGCTATGTTATCATACAATACCACGATCCATAGTGCAACAAACTTCACTCCATTTGAATTACTCTATGGGAGACCAGCCAGAATTCCTTCCAACTTCAACGAAGAACGCAGCGAAATACAAACATATTCAGATTACATGATCGAGTTGATCACAAAACTCGACAAAATACGTGACATTGCGTTTCAACAACTCCAGAAAGCCAAATTAAATTCCAAGAGGATATATGATCAAACCTCGAGACCTCTGGAATTAAAAATTGGTCAATTCGTCTATGTTGAAAAAGAACCTAAGATAGGGAAACTAGACCAAGCATATACTGGACCCTACGAGATTGTAGACATCACTGCAAAAGGAAATGTCTACCTGGAGAATGAAGACGGTCACCGGTTCATGAAACACCCAAATAAACTAAAACCCTGCGAAGAAAACTAAAAAAAAAAAAANAACTCCAGAAAGCCAAATTAAATTCCAAGAGGATATATGATCAAACCTCGAGACCTCTGGAATTAAAAATTGGTCAATTCGTCTATGTTGAAAAAGAACCTAAGATAGGGAAACTAGACCAAGCATATACTGGACCCCACGAGATTGTAGACATCACTGTAAAAGGAAATGTCTACCTGGAGAATGAAGACAGTCACCGGTTCATGAAATACCCAAATAAACTAAAACCCTGCGAAGAAAACTAAAAAAAAAAAAAATTATTTCCTCTCCGATGTCTTATTACAGAGGAATGGCAGAATCCAGTCAACCAAATCCAAATAGCAATTGGACCCACGTCTACGTAGATGGATCATGCTCCCATAATGGCACCACCAACGCCATAGGAGGAATAGGAGTGTGGTTCGGAGAGAAACACCCTTTGAACACCCACAAGACCCTTGTAGCGGAACGCATCACCAACATCACCGCAGAAACTGCTGCTGCAATAGAAGCCTGCAAATTGTGCTTCCGACATGACATAAGACGAGTCAAAATCTTTACCGATTCGAAATACCTAATCAGCTACATGACTGAACACCTACCTAAGTGGAAAGGAAATGGATGGCTGAATGCCAAAGCCAAACCTGTCGTGAATCAAAAACTATTAAAAGAGCTCGACACACTCATGCATCAATTAGAGGTCAAATTTGAATACACTCCTGGGCACCAAGGGGTCCACGGAAATGAAAAAGCCGATGAATTGGCTAAAATTGGGTCAAAAATCTATTCTGCAACCTAAACAAANGAGATGCCAACCATCACAATACCTACAATATCTACCAGACGACCAAGAGCAGCACTTCCAGCCCTTACACCAGTAATTCAAGAAATAACACCAGGGTCCACCGTAGAAATACCTCTGAGTTCGGAAGTGACCATCAACTACGTCTAATTAGTTTAACAGATAAGTAAAAAAAAAATAAAAAAATAAAAAAATAAATTTGAACCCAAAATTTCATCTATATATATATATATATATATATATATATATTTACGGGCACGTGCATTTCCCTCCAGTATATGTAAACTGCCCCGGAACTTATAGATCTATATACATAAATAGATACACATATATATATAATTTCCTTACTGTCATTCATTATTATCCTTCGTCTATCAAATTGTCGAACAAAAAGAAAAACGGATATAGGTTTAAAATATAAAGAAGCACCCCGCGCAAGTAGGATAATCATGGGTAATTAATGTTAGAGGATGTCCACACCGCGATCCGAAATAATGCAGTTACTTTTTAAATTTGCTATGAACGGTTTATTTCTGCCACTCTCCATAATTCAAATCCATCAATCATTTATGAAAAACCTCAGAAATTAATGTAGACTTCACCGACTATGTGCCAATACTTAGCCGACAAAGGGCCAAAGTCCCCAAAATTGGCCCCCTACGATCCGTTAATCATCTCAGTTATTATGGCCCGCTCTTTCAAAAATAGTGCGCCATTCCATCCCCCACCTTCACCCTCACCAATGGCAGAATACGTGAAGCTAACTTGACGGGCTAAAAACATAAATCAAAATTATTTTTTTAAATGTTTTCCAACCCAATCAATAAATCTCGATACCCCTAAATCACAATAGAAGAACCCATCACCTTAAAATAAATTCACCCCCACAATCAGCCTGATGTTGGGCACACCAAGGGAAGAAAGGCCCAGGCTCTGGTGGACGATTCACAGTTCGGATCTGCTCTCTCCCACATCTACTACAAACGAACAGTTTATCCATCGACAAGGGCCGTAATATCTCCCAATCCACATACCCTTCATCCAAAATGTCACATCCTAACACCGCATTGATACGGGCAACTTCCCTCTGGAACACCCCCTTGTGATTCGCATTCTTATTTCTATCAGCTCCAATACAGTCCAAGTAACAGTGAATCATCTCATGCAAAATTGTTCTCACTAACACCGATCGGCTTAAACCAGGCACAAACATGAACCTCGAGAAGGTCACAACCTTTGCGGTATAATCGGTATACCCAAACGTATCCTTCCTCCTAGAGGTTTTTCTGAAAGTATACCCTCCGACCTTCCCAAAGAAGAACTTGTCGTTAAAAATGTCTATCAACTTGAAAAGATCAGGGTCCTCCTCTAAAACCAATCCCACAAAAGGTAAGAGCCCGCGTGGAACCTCAACACCATTCGGACCCTTTCCATCACACCTGGACAACAAAATCCTCAACTCCTTCGGAGCTCCACGAATCCGACGACCCTAAATAATAATAATAATCCACATGAATCCAAATATAACTAAATCAATAAATGAACCAAATGAAACATCAGAAAATACACCCACCTTGGTGCGCACCCTCGAGCTCATGTCACCCAAAAACTGACTCACTCCCTCAAAAACACACCCTCTAAGCTATTTTACTCTTGAAAATCCTTCGGAAAAGACGCCCAACACCTCCTGAGAACAGTGACACACTGACTGACATCCGGAGATAAGAGGTAACCGAAAACCCAGTGACCGATATCACAGAAACCTGATCACCTCCTCCAGACAACAAAGCCAGCATAAAAATGCTAAGTAGACGATTACGTCCAGCGAGAATAATAAAAATTCAATCAAACCATAATATTCACACATCTCAAAATCAGTTCCACATAAATAGAACAATGATTCTGAGCGGGGGCTGTAATGTCCAAAAATCTATGAAATAGCTTTCCTTCACAATTTCCCGATTATTCTCACTATCCAATGCCACATCGTCAACCGAGAACCCGAAAAGTGCAGCATCAACAAATAACATATTCCAATATAAGGCTAGTGGACTCGCGATTTCAACAGAGTTACACCCCGCAGGTGAAGAATCGCCAGTGCGAAATCCAGCGCGCCTAAAACCGCTGACCCAACAGGTCAATTCCCCCCAAGCATAAAAAGTGGGAAAATCACGCCATAATTTCCACCAATCAAAAGCAAAATCGTGTATCGACCAAGAACCGATTCACTCCCCAAAATCAAAATTACAAGCAGTCTAGAAGCAATCGTCGGAGCGTTAATTTGACTTGGTGGAAATTACTGACGGAATCGATCTGTCTCTTTCGGTCCCCGCTACTCATAACTCGCCTGGAAAACGGTTATCGGGAGTGGTAGTTATTGAACATAGTTCATAGCTGAGTGAAAGAAAGTCGCGCAGGGATACTGCATCCTAAAATCGAGAGTAGTAGTGTTTCTTGCATTGTAAGAGGACTAATTAACTAGGCTTCCGTGATTGTGGACATTCTCACTTAAAAACACTTTTCCGAACTTTGTTAAATTATACACGAGTGGGTGAAAGTGATTCAATAGGAAGTATCCATAATAGGATCAGAGAAAACTCTAATTCTGGTGGAGAAAAACCTTTGTGTCATTGAAGGATCCACAACTAGAAATATAAGGATTACTACTAAAACCATCATCAACTGTAAGTTCAATTATCAATAACCTTCAACCATTTTGAAAACCAAAGTAATCCACTATCAGACTTGGTAAAAAGACTTTCCAGGGATAAAATATTAACTTAATATCAATTTCAAAATTCAACAATTCAAACACGATTCAAATTGTAAATTTTTCATTTGTAATTATCAACAAAGTCGAAATTATAGAAGATTACTTTTGAACATAAAAATTGTCTCGGAGTCATTTGACTATTTCCTTACTTCAAATATTCCTCATCCTTTCAGTATCCCAATNCATCCACTATCGGACTTGGTAAAAAGACTTTCCAGGGATAAAATATTAACTTAATATCAATTTCAAAATTCAACAATTCAAACACGATTCAAATTGTAAATTTTTCATTTGTAATTATCAACAAAGTCGAAATTATAGAAGATTACTTTTGAACATAAAAATTGTCTCGGAGTCATTTGACTATTTCCTTACTTCAAATATTCCTCATCCTTTCAGTATCCCAATTTCGATTCTCAAAATTAGTAACGTAAACCAAGGTAAGAGAGATAAATTACACCTAGCGTCGTTCAATATAAATCAAAATATAAAAGTATCTGGCTTAACAATTCCTTTCTAAATTTAGCTTTCCCATATTTTTATATCAAAAATTCTAGATTGTTATTTTCCCGTAATTTACAATTCTACCCAAAAAGTGTCCTTCGACGCTGACACGTCTCCGGACATAACAAACTTCCTCGCCTCGCAAGATGAAACTTTCTTTGCGGAAGGCATCCGTGAACAGATGGCTGAAGGTCATTCAAAATGATGGAGATTATTTTGATGAATAAATGTATTTCACTTTTTTTCGAAAATGAATTTGAAATTTTTTGCAAAGTGTCCTAAAACTTATTTGTACACCTAATAGTTTCGCAATAGAAAAACGATCCTTTTAAAAATTTTCCATAAAATAAAAACTCAGTAGGAGCAGGACCAACGTTCTTGGCGCGGAGTTTTTCAATTCACTGTCTATATCAATATAATCCTTCATCTTCTGATCCACGCCAAGAACGTGGGTCCTGCTTCTACGGATTTTTTATTTTATAGAAAATTTCGTAAAAATCGTTTTTCTATTGAGAACTATTTTTCTACAGATATCTGTTTGCGCATTATACCCATTTATTTGACATTCTTGACTTTCTTTTCTTTTTCATTTATTTTTATTTATTTTTCATTTATTGTTCTTTTTTTTAACTTCCACTTTTCCATAAAAATCAAACAAAACTTATTTTTGGCGCAGTTTCATAGGGGCAATGATTACAAAGCTTCAATTCGGAACCAATAAATTCAATGAAAAATGCAGGCGAAAATGTTATAAATTGAATGATTGAAGAAGGGAAAAATTTTAATGAAATCTGAAATGCACCGATTTTCCGGGCTATTGAGGGAGCCAGAGGAACAAGGACCATATTTCAACAATTACCGATATGTCGGAACACAATTAGGAGAGCTATGTCGATGAGATGCGCATAAAATCATGAAAATATTGATGTATCAAGAGAAGAGTATTTCCAGCCGACGTTGCGAGATGGTCTGGCTTGATCATTTTCTCATGCTCATTGCATTTCGTTTTCAACTTTCTATTTTCCCCTTTGTAATTAGTGAATTTACAATTTCGTTCACCCAGCCCTTTTAACTTTCATGTTCTTTTCATTCCATCATTTTTTCAGAATCTTTCCATTTTTTGTGGCGCGAGCCACAAACGAATTGTTGCTTCAAAGTGTATTAACACGTCTCGAATATTCTATACCATCATATTCGAGACGGGCGTCATTCTGTCCTTGTCCCTCGCGAGATTTCTGAACGGTTCTCGAACCTTCCATAACAGAAAGTATTTAAACTTGCACGCTCCCCGACGAATAGCTCAGTTGAATTCAGTCCGATTTATATATTCGATGTACACATATCGCTGCGATAAATACAATGCCTTTATATTCCACAACCACCAGTTACTATTGTGCCTCTATACACCTAACCACCACATTTTTTATGGTGCTTCAAGGGTAAATGTCTACAAGGTCACTCTCACATGAAAAATAAATATTATCGAGTTCAAATTAATTTGCGTCAATGAGAAGAGTAAGAAATTGATTGAAATAGTGCAAAAAAAAACTATTAGATGAAAAATGTCTTTTCAATATAATCTCATTGTTATTAGCCTCTTCCAGAAAAAAAGTAATTGAATTTTCAATTAATAAAGGAGTGATAAGATCACATAATAACTGTAGCAAATGTGGTGATGCGATGCAATATAATCTTGAAACTCAATTATGGAGATATAGAA